ATGAAAATATCGGCGTCGAATTAATCATAGATTTATCAAGAGTTTCATAATAAAAACGATAGTAATAGCACAATGAATGTTAAATACTTGGGTACAAGAAAGTGGAAAAGAAACGCCATTGACAGCTGCATAAAATTTCTTTCTTGCTCTGATTAGCTGTTAATTAGTCAATTGACTGTCTGACACCAAGAACACATCAAGTTCTAAGAAATAAACATTTAAATGTGCATACTTTTGTTATATTGTTATATAATATGTGAATCTTTTGATGGATGGATACTTTTGATGGAAGGTTTCTTCAGAACAACTTCATGGATCTCGCTAAAATTTGGCATATATATAGATATAATATAGTTTTAAAGAAAACACACTAAATATGTTAGTTTTTAACTGCGCACGGACGGAGTCGCTAGTCTATTTATAAAGACGACTTTCACATTTTTTTTTATTTGGTACAACTAACGTATATACATCAATATAATATATAACAAAGACTTAGTAATTATGTACCAAACACCGTTGTTCACAATTATAGTACAAAAAAAGAAAGGAAAGAAAACAGTAATAATTTCATACAATTAAACTAAACAAATTAGTTCACAAAGATAAAGCACGCGCGACACTTCCCATTTTTAGTTTCATTCATTCATTCATGTTTAGTATTCACATTTTTAGTCGTTTACCTTATGTTACTTATTTTTTATTAAACTACCTTCCTCTTGTTACTTATCTGTTACTATTGAGCTTCAATATAAAACGTTTTATCTAAAAAAAACAGGAAACATTATGTAGGCATGAGATTATATTTAAGAAGATGCCATGTTTGGCTCTGTTATTACTCCCATGTTGTCGCGTGACGAAGTTGCAGAGTGCCTGTAAAGCAAAACGTTGTTATATGTCACATTTACTGCCTTTAATGGTGTTTTTTTATGGAACTTGGGTAACGCGTTCAAATACATAATTGTAACTGAGAATATGCATTTATTTTTGATGTAATTAAGAAGTTTTTTTAATGTTTCCAATATAATAAATGTGAATGTTTAGATGGATGAATGAATGTTTGAAGATATCTTCAGAACGGCTGCATCGGTCTTGTTGAAATTTGACATAGCGGTAGAGCATAGTGTGGAAGAACACATAGGCTACTTACGAAGTTTTTTTTTAATTTTTCGCGAACCAATAGCTGGCGATAGGTAGCTTTTTATAGTTTTCCAATTAATACAATTGACGCTTTGCTTTTAATCGTATATATCAAACGTTCTTCCTTGAAAATGACACTATAATAATGGGCATAAAAATATTTACATAATGCCTATAACGCAACATTATGATGTAACTAACACATTTGTATATTTATTTATTTAATCCAAATGCAAAGATATTCAACTATTCATAAACTTTCGTTAATGTTAGATAAGCATCTCATTAAACTGTGGGAAAAGTAATAAACGTCCCAAAGGCTTAATTTTACGTTTACTGTAATTAAACTTAAAGTTAACTTAACCGTTAAGTAGTCCGTATTATTTTGTTCGTTTATTATTTTACTCTGCATTTAGTTACATAATTTCAGTTGTTATTAATCTTAACCAATAGAAAGTTCTTTAGCATATTTTGTTAATATTTTTTTAAAATATATTACAACTTTTAGAATTATATAATTGGAACTCAACAGGCCTATATGCTAACTTTATAATTTCCGCTCAGAGTTTTATAATACACTAGCTGTCGCCTGCGAATAAGTCCGTACGAAATTAAGAAAAAAAACTTATTAAGAGGCTCTTGTGTTCTTCAATACTATGTTCTACATCTATGCCAAATTTCATCAAGATCCATTGAGCCATTCCGGAGATAAGTACTAAAATACATCCATACATCCAAACATTCGCATTTATAATATTAGTAAGAAGTAATATAAGATTAGAAAGACGTTTCATGTTCGTTTAAATAACAATACTTGAATCGAAGAAAAAAATTATACTATTACTCCGACATAAAATACGTCATATTGCCGTGTTATTACTGAAGTCTCTGACATAATATGCCGTAATAATACATGTCCGAGCTAAAGTATATGTCTTAAATAACTGTCCTAAGTCTAACATCTGTCATATACTGAGTCTTCAATGTTTCCCAATGACATTATTTAATATAATAACACTAAACTGATATATAAACACGGCTAAACACTCACGTATATACGTCCGGTGGCGGCACCGACTAGTTTCGAGCCCATCGGGGGCCCTTCATCAGGATGAGTGGCACTGGTATTATTTCGCGGACGCGGCCCGTCGCTCACTGGTCTAAACTAGTCGGTGCCGCCACCGGACGTATATACGTGAGTGTTTAGCCGTGTTTATATATCAGTTTAGTATAATGTCTCACGAAAGTTTGAATAATTTAATAATAACACTAGTAAATAGCTAAGTACGGCTTGTTGTACAGTAACAACATAAATTACTAGCTGTAAATATATAGAATTCTTACTACTTTTTCTATATCTAGCCGGTATCGTGGGAACTGGATATTATGTTCTTACTAATCCTTTGAATTATGCCGATTTATATGGAAGTACATATTGTGGTACGGATTAGTTGTGAATTTTGTCACGCAGATAAACCAAATGTAGATTCTAATGTTCTGTAAACATCACGCTGAAAAGCAATGGTATTATAAATCTAATAGGTAAAAGCTTATGTATTTTATTACTAATATTATAAATGCGAATGTTTGGATGGATGTTTGTCTTAATGTATCTCCAGAATGGCTGAATGGGTCTTGATGAAATTTGGCAAACATATAGAATATATTCTGGAAGAACACGTAGGCTACTATTTATCTTTTTTATTTTATTTTGCACGGACGCAGTCGCGGGCGACACCTACTAGACATATAAAAATGTAATCCAACATGTAAACTATTGATTCGGTTAACGCAGAGAAATATATGAATGAGCCAACAATAATACAAAAAAGTAAATGTTAAAGTTCATTTATTTTATTGGAAATATAAAAATGTACAATGAAAAATTTACAATTGTGAAATATTGAAATAAATATTCATTCGTTGTTTCACTTTTCGAGCAATTTCTTCTTCAATGTTCATAACGATCGCAATGCGTGAAGGAAAACTTATGACTATCTAACCTACGTCATATTTCGGATAGCAAATGTTATTAACGAATTAGGTCAGCTTGTAACGCGAGATTGGAGCGATGGAACCTGTACACGCCGGGGACCCGACACGCACATTCATAATAATTTTACTTGGTCGTCGCCGACAGTTATTGATGGTGCCTATTGGATACCGACATACCTTACCTATATGTTATACTGACATAAATACTTAATTGAGAGGGTGTTATTTGACGTCATATAAATCAAAGATTACTCCTTTCAATAAAGGGTGTAACTTAAGTGATAACAACAGATCTTTAAAGTTTGGCACCTCAATATCGCTGAATATAAATGGGACTTAATCGATAGATATTGAATTCCCTGACTTTCAAAGCTTTTGATCAGGATCAAGTAACATACTGTATATATGCGTAATCAAACAATCTTAACACCTAACTTATTGCGATGATATAACTTAACATTAAAAACCAATACTGTTATGTTAGTTTTATTTTCCAGGGAATAAAATTGATGATAATAGATTTTTGTATCATACTGTATAAATATATATTGTACTAAAAAAGTAAAAGTTAAATTGTTACCGACAGAGATAGTGCATGCTCTCTCACTGAGGCCATTTACAGACTATTTAGTTATTTAAATTAATTCGTTTTATTAAGACTGCGAGAGGCCATTGAAGATATAAAGATGATTACAAATTTAAAAGAGGCTTTGTTCTCAACGTAAGCTGGGACTTTAAGAATTAAGAGAAATTTAAATAGATATATGTCTTTGAAAACTTTCATTGACGGTGTCGAACTAGTAGACAAGCTGATTTACTTTTTTATGTCGGGGGCAAAGGCCTGTAAAAGATAAAATAATTTAAATAAAAAAGAAGAAGAGAATAAATATCGATAAGAGTATTTCTACAAGGGTTACTCTCGTTTTAAAGTTAAATAAAAAAAGAACTCTCCGAGTCACGTTAATTTTAAGTCTAAAGCCTGGTTTATATTATGCCAGTACAGTAGTGTTCAATATCAGCTTGGGTATACAATACGCATAATGCTAATACCAACTGACGCCAGTGTGCCCATACAATCCATTCCGGGCTACTGTCCTACTGTACTGGCATAATGTAAACGAGACATAGTACTACAAAAACTTATCTAAATGTTTTCTTCTAAGTGGATTTCCTGTAAACACACGCGGCGATGATAAATTATTATTTTACATTGATTTTCTATGAACGTGCCGCTCGTTCATCGATCAGTTTATTTTTAGTTTCGTTCGATCAGAATTTTAATCTGTGCTCTATAATTTAATGATTAATCACGAATAAAGTATAAGCACATGAATGTTTAAGTCAGCTTTTTGCGGTTTGTCGTAGTCTTAAAAAATATGTATAAGCTATAATATATTACAACGATAAAAAGCAAACCGATGGCGGGCGCAGAGCACTTTAGACGATATGTTTAGTACTGTGACTCCATTGATTGTTGTCGCGTGCATGAAAGCGGAATGTTTTTGTGATATCATATTTATAATTCTTTTTCTAAACGAATATATTAAACAAAAGAGGTCCTATATATTTTAATGTTTTTATTTAAATTGCATTGTTTGGTGTGTGACAGTATTATTGAATGATAAAAGTGTCACGCGCAAATAAGGCGACATTCATGCCCCTACCTTATTATAGAGGAATATTTTTATATTCCCAACGCTGCCGCGCTCTCAATACACCATATTACAAGGACGTGAGTGAAATCACGAAGGGAACACCTCGAATTAGATATCCGTTCCACATGTCCCTTCTCAATATTCATCGTAACCCGCCCTCCTACATATATTCACTTTGTAAATGCTAATTTACTTTTTTTATTGTTACAGACCGGTCAGCGTTTGAAGACGAATAATCGAGGTAAGTAATCGATTGTATAATCGGTAATTAGTATCGGGTGAGCAATCGGAAGTGAGTTTTTACTCGATTCAGTTTACGCTATTCGATTCTAAATAAATGCTGGGTTGTTTAGCCTCGTTTCGCTTTTCCCGCTGATCGCTGTTAACTGAAGTAGGTTAGTCGGAGTGAGATAATAGCTGTTCGTCTCGGCTGTTTCGTTCCTATTATTGTTTGTATTCAACACCGCGCCCGATGCCGTCGAAAAAACTTTTTCTGAGTTAATAGGTAAGCAATATTTGGAGTTTTTTCATCAGACGTTGTTATTGGCTTTATTGAAAACGGCTTCTACGATGCGGATGAAACTAAACGAATTATGAGAAAAATACTAAATAATTCAACATAAATAGTACCATAAATGCTATTATCAGTTCAGGAAAAATATCTGTTGCGGCTATCTATCAAACAAAATTTTAAATTAATTTATTAAATCATGTTTTCGTCTGTAGTATCTGGCAAGTAATATTATTACTATTCGACATTATTAACAAAATTACAAGCAAAAGTAATTTGATATGTGCTTACTATTCGTGTAATTAATTCTTGAACGAGTCGAACCGCGTCAACCTTGTACTAGAAATTGTATACGATATGTATTATTATGTAAGTGTGTTATAATATTAAAGAGATTGTTATTTGGCATATCGGATATGCTACGAAGTTTCCAGTTCAGAACCTTGAAGGCGTTCGTACAATATTCTGAGGTGAGTGAAGGCTCTGTTCGCTTTGCGGTCAGGGCACCACCTGTGTGGTCGGAGGGGGAAACTATCGCAGACACGTAATGTATTATGTATTAAAACGCTATCTTAAACAATATATTACGTCCTCTCTCATCCCGGACCCATAAAAACATGTGACCCTATATCTCTTGATTTAGGAAATTGGTTAATAAAATGTTTAACTAAACATTTTATATTCTTTTTACTTTTCGAAGTAATTTAATTAAGATATAGACAAACATAATCGTTTACTTAATTATCTGAGTTGCTATGTTGTTTTTTATGTTCTTCTAAATTCCAAAGGAAAATTATGTTTTCTTAAAATATTAGAAACTTTTCAAATAAAACTGTCTTTTGTTAAAAGAAAGACGAATGTTTACTTGGAGTTTAAAAGAATAGGACGTAATGCGAGTTGCTTATAATTTAGTCGTCACGAGCTTCAGATTTAAATGAAAGTTGGTCGTCCGGGTATGTTTATTCAGTGGCCCAACGGCCCTGGGCGTTGTCTGATTTGGAGGGAAAGTTTCCTTGTTTTGCAAAGGGTGAGCCGCCCTTCCGATTTGAATATTTTAAAAGCAGACCAACTTTTCTTCAATACGTCCCTGTACGCATGCGATACATCTCGCATAACACAAAGGTTGAAAGGCGGAAAATTGCGATATCCAGAACAGTATTCATAATAGTTCCACAAGGAAGTTATTCGTGAACAGTATATTTCAGAAGCTTATCATAGCTTATATTTATAAGAAATAAATTTCATTCGATTGCTCGAAATATCGGTATCGAATATAGGATTTTGTCCGTAACAGGTTAAATAAATAACTCGATCACAGTTCGAAATGTTGAAATGGAATACCACGTACTGGATGAAGTTTGCACTTTATCTCAGCTTCGGATTTTAATTAACGTTGTTTCGTTTTTCACTCTGGACTATCCGTTCGAGGAATTTCCATATCTATTTTGTTCTACGTCCGTTACATTGCTCTACTTGAATAGAAATCTGAAGCGTATCTACAAAATGAATTCAATCGTTTTTATGTTTAGGCATTGAAGCAAAATACAAAGAGTAATTAAAATCTGACAGCTACCGTGCCATTAGATTTTGTGGCAGATTGCCAATCGAAATCTTTTAGCTATTGTAAACTCATTAAAATGTAAATCTCTGTCATACATTTTGTTTTATTAATGAGATGCAGTTTAAAGTGACCAAGGTTATTTAACGACGGCATAAGGTTCTTGGTAAGGTTGTTCTTGTATTCTTTTGCTAAACTGACTGGTTAATCATATTCTATTAGTTTAAATAGTCACGCTTACATCTAATTATAATATCGTAATTTAAGTTAACTGTCAACTTAATTGAATTAAAATTGTATATATCTATGGTGACATGAGGTAAACTACGTAGTCCATGGTCTACTCTAAAAATAAAATCTGATCCGACGTCTTTTAACATCAATATGATTTTCAAAACAACAATCATATTGAAATAAAGTTAACACTTGCAGTGCCGCAGACTCTTACGAGTCCATTTAAAAAATCAGATATCGCTTGCCTAGCAAACATAAATACGTCACAAGTGGAGTAAGGCGCGGGTCGCGGTGGGTCGCGACTGTGCTTGTTCGGATGTGAACAAATATTCGTCGCCGATAATTCGCAATGCTTCTATTTAATTTCCGCTTCACAATACATTCTACTAACAAAGTGGCTCATTCACCACACTTCATATCGAATCGAACACAAGTTTATTAAAGTTAAACTTATTAAAGTTAGCGAATTACAACTAAATTGCCTGCATACTTTAGACTCTAGAGGATAATGGAATACCGATATCCAGCAGCGGACTGACACAGGCTGATGATATAAACATTGGAAACAAGAAACCTAATTATTCAACATCGACGGTTCTAATCCCAGATTTCAGTGTTAAGTCGATATTTTGCTAATATTATAAATGTGAATGTCAGAACGTATAGCGGATGATTCGATGTTTATTAGAAGGTATCACCACAACGGCTGCATGGATCTCTCTAAAGTTAGGCATAGATGTGGAACATTGTTTGATCGAACACACAGGCTACGTATAAGTTTTTTTTTTAATTCAGCGCAGACGGAGTCCCGACGTCTAGTTTATTATAAATAGTGTTGAACGCTATGAGCGAATTCCTAAACTTGTTAGGGCGCTGAAAAACTGACACACTAGCCTATTTAATTAATCTCTCGACCCGACGGCGACGACTCGACACATCGCCGAAGATTAATGTCATCTAGTCAAGGGTTTCATGAGAAAATATGCGCATATTTTAAATATTAAAGCCTACGAAATTAGGTTACACGGCAGTGCTTACAATTTTTTTGTCCTTTGTAAATTTTAGACCAGGTATCGTATTTAATTTTATGTTAAGACTTTACAAAAATAGATACGAAATAATAAAATTGTTTCGTATTTTAATTTACAATTAAAATCATCTAGAGTCTATCCAAACTACGCGCTTCTCAACATTGTATATCGTTACATTTATAATATAAATCAGTTTTGTTTCTGTAAGAGCAAAGAAACATAAAATATCGCTTCGATCTTCATTCGGTCGGGTTTGTTTTTATGTTTTGTAAAATATAACAGATTGGATCAGACCTTTTTCTGTTGCGTTGGGCGGACGCTTTTCTTTTGTAGATCCGCTGACTTTCCCTTCTTGTTCTATGTTTTATTGCTGCAGTAATTTAAAAGATAACCTGAATATTTTTACTTTGTTGATTGCATAGAGAAGTATTGTAGCACCAAGCTTCACAAACAATCTTTTGAAGAGCTCATTAACAATTACGGAGATTTTTAATATTGTATTTTTAAAGTAGAGATTGATGCTGTAGCTGAGCTTTGTCAGTTGTAAATTTATATTTCAGTTGAGTTTAAATATGTTTGTTATGTTTAGAGTAATTCAAGATTAAAGTATAGATACAGGAGTCTCACAAAGATAAGATATTGCAACTATTTGTTCTACGTTTAAAACACGTGAATTCACTAAACGTGTTAATAACCAATATAGCTTCTGAGGCTTACTAGCTTTGATGTACCTCAAAGTAATGGAGGCCGCATCACGCCGTAGACTCTAATGATGTGCGAAGTACTTAGTCCTAGCTCAAAGTTGTCGAGACGATGATGAATCTATATCGAATTATGCACGTTCCCTCTGCCTCTTGCACCCCGCTGTCGCCCGGTCGCCGGCCAATAATCCGGTTAGAGCGACCGCACGGCCGCGGGCGCCGGCACCGCTCTGATCGAACCGTAATTGGGTGTGAGTACACCTGCCGCACCACAGATTATAAAATAAACGTTTTTAACAAGACGAGCCTACAACGTTTTCGGTTAATATGTCAATTATTTTTGTGATGCTCAGTAACGTTCATGGCTTTTGTACGCCTTTTAAACTTAAAAAAAGTTTCTACAATTTCTTATGATGTCACCTCTCTGTCAACGTCAAATAATTAAGCCTTGGCCTCTTTTTTACGAAAAAAAATAAATACTCATTAAAAGTTAAATAAACTAAAACAAAGAAATGTTTGTTCATTCAATTATTTCTTGAAGTATAAAAATAATTTTTATTATCATGACTAACTTTGTTTAACAAGAGTTAAAAAGAATAACTTACTGAGGAAATCGTTTCTCTCCTTTTACTTATTATTAATAATCTTCTTCTAGGAAACTTATTTATTTTAGCCAAGCGTCAGTTCAGCCGGTGTAGCTCGATTAAACAGTAGTGTTGCTGGCAGTTAATAAACACGGCCGAATGCGCGTTATATGAATAATTTGATAGATTGACGTTTCAATTTGACTTTGTTCCGCTCGGTTTACACCGGCCGGTTGGATGAAGCTAGTTTTGAACGATATCGTAACGCGACCAAGTCTGAAAGTTCAATTTGCTTTCATGCTATTGTTATGCAAAGTTTATTTATACTTCATGTCAAATATGTACACGAAACGAGAATAAACCATCATAATTTATTTCTGTAAGTCTCGTTTAAAAATCATGTTATATAAAACACGACATTTGCATTGTTAAAATTCACATTTTCCAGACAAAGATAGCAACATTTGTAGTCATATGTACCTTTGGCATTTCTATTCAGTTGATCGCGACATTGACAGCGAAGTCGATCGGAAACAGCGAACGTAAATAAATACAAACTAAGAACAGAATAGTATTGTAGAGAGTGAGGGTGTCATTTGATTCCGGGACGTCTGTACCGTTTGTTTGTCCCGGCCTTGTCCGACATTAGAACGTAGAGCTTTTGTAGAGCCGCGAGCGACGCGTGTAACCTTTTACCTTTAATAAACCAAAGAACGATATTAATGTGTACATTTACTTTTGGTATAGTGAATAGGTCAAGTGAATTCCAAGTATCTGTTACACGTAAATGTCAACAATGTGTCCTCGGACCAGCGCCATCTAACAGCCGAACATTAAATTTGATCATAAACAATTTTTGCTTATAGAAGTTTTAAATAACATCTTTATTTTACATTTAACTGATCTAGGGATAGTTTAAGGCATGGTTAGATTATTTTTGTATATGAGAAAGTAATTAAAGTTAACCTTCAGATTGATCTTGAGAATCGATAAATAAGTTACGACCGTGTCGTGTCATCTTTATATTCATTATAACGTTTGACGATGCTAATCATCTGCCTATATGACAGTATTCTTTTGAAATATTTCTCCGTTAATGCCCCTTTAGTTTTATATATATATTATAATATTAAAGTGTAAATCACTATAATAATATGCGTTTGCTTGTTGGACGATTAACGTTAAAACAAAAAAAAGAAAAAAAAATCTAGTGAAAATATTTTTTTCTTATTTTGGTTTTATCGTAGGTATTGTAGGTATACCGAGAATTCTTCTTCCGTTTAATGTCGAATTCGCTTCATCATTTCCCTCATTAATTTCAACTTCAACCTCTATTTCCTGAAAAGAAAAATTAACGACAAATCAGATTTAATGATAGTGAAATTTGTTATTTTTTTACAACAAAAGCTTATTATTATCGTGTAGTTTCTTTGAGAGAAATATGTTTGCAAATGATAAGAAATAATTTCTTATAGTACAAATTAATTTCTACTATTCTCAGGGGTACATTATATGAGTCCAATTATTCTTGTACGGATGTATATTTAAAAAAAAACTCGCATCTTCAAACACGATAAAATATTAAATCTTACTACACATCGTTCGTGTACGCTAGACGACCGAACTAAGTTAAAAATAAAAGCGTCTACGTTTATTTTTAAATATTGTTCGAATAGCGGTTACACTAAAAAGGTTTATTTCTTCCGACTCACCGGCTGGTTGGAGTCCAGTTGTTTCTTTAAGTCTTCAGAGCCGCTCTCTTTTGTTTCATCTTCTGATTGATTTAAAATGTTGGTCGTCGTATGATTTGCGTTTTCTGTTTGTTTCAACAATTGTTTTGAACATGTTAAAATATTTTATGTCAAATTAAAAGTAACAAAATTTTTTAACTAACTAAATAAAAATGTTAAAATTAATTATTTAATGTTTGAAGTCAAAATAATTTTATTGAATAAATTGAACTAATAATTCTCTTAAACAATTCTATTAAAAATTAAGACTTACGCTTTTTCTTGATATTCATAATATTGTCGAAATATTCACCGAGGCTCTCTAATCTTCTTGTTTGATTATTGTCTGAAAATTATTTAATTAGTAGAAGAAATCCATTTTTAAAAAGTGATTGCATATTTTTTTTTGGCATCGGAAAAAATCATCCCTAGGAATCATAATCATCATACCATGTCTGCCCACTGTTGCATATAGGCCTTTCCCAATGCTTCCATATACAAGATTCTCATATTTTATCTTACTACACTTAAGTGGTACGCAAACCTTTTAAAACTTACATATATTAGGCTGTTTTAGATACTCCTTTCTAAGTTTTACTGAAATATATTAAACACGAAAATAATATTTTATGGAAAATTAAAAAAAAATGTAAATAGACAAATTTTTGAGAATCGAACTGATTACAATGCTTGATCCACTGAGCCTATAGGCTTACAAGGCTTTATTTTTTTAATCTATTAGTTATTTCCTGCTGTAACTATCGCAGGCGGTCGGTTTTTTGCAAACAGTTTGTCGATGGTAAAAATTCAATGAAAAAGTTTTGGAACGATTCCCGACCGCGAGTCTAATCGAACGAACCCGTTGTTCGAAATTGGCGCAGTAGTAAACTTGTACATAAAAATATACCTCGATAAAATACTTACATAATTCTTGTACCTGTTCGTTTAACGACGCTGGAATTAATATTCACTAGATTAATTGCGGAATTAATTAATTTAATGAATAGAGGATCATTGTGGCAAAGTGGCGATCAATGGGGAAACCTACTTCCTGCCTTGGAATAGATCAAGAATTATATCAGAAAATTGATATTAAGCCAATGTTCAGAGTAGCCTTATTCTGAAATTATGTGTAAATGTATATAGATGCTCTACTATTCCGAACTACACGATTTCAATTGTCTCATTTATTTCTTTAATTAATTAATTAATATTCTCTCTAATGCACTTTAAAAACTAAGATGACTATTTGTTTTTATACGTGTGCAATGAAAAGCCACACTTAAGTAGTTAATTTTTCATATAACACTAGCTATCGCCCGCTACTCCGTCTGCGCGGAAACGAAGCTTAGAAAGTAGCCTATGTGTTCTTCCAGACTATGATTTACATCTATTCCAAATTTCAGCAAGATCCGTTAAGGCGCTTCGGATAAAACTTCAAACAAACGTCCATCTATTCATTTAAATATTTGCATTTATAATATTAGTAAGATAGAGAAAACATTACAGCAAAGTTATAAAAATGACGTCCACTCTATCAACATCGAATACACGCATGATTTTTAACCCACATTTTAACTAGCTTCGTATCCGCTGGGTTTAAAACATCATGGGTCAAGTACTCGTGGTTCAGAGTCATGCGTGTTAAACATGAACTCAAATAATAATCCCGCTTTTGAGTGCACTCGGGAAAACTTTTTTTTTCAGTTCCGCTTTTATTAACGCAGTAAACCATCAGCGTATGGAATTAAATGGTTGCTATGTGCATGTTCAATACGATATGACTGCAGCATGTGCATGCCAAATGGCCACCATACTGCTTTTCAATCTATGCATCGATTATTCAACTCTTATACAGGATGATTAATATCATAAGCTCATATAAATTAATCGGTTAATTTAACTTTATTCATAATCTGCTTACCGTTGGTTTCTGAGACCGAAATCTCTCTATTAAACATATCTTCATCTATGTCAATATACTACAGAGATAACTATATATTTTAAACTGGATTTTGGTCTAAGAAACCCACGATTAGACATACAAGATTACAAATAACTCGTAAATTAAAACAAACGTTGCTTTATTAATAATAATTAATTTTACTATACCAAGTTGTTACTTTATTCATAAATTGTTCAAGGATTTTACCACAGTACGTGATCAAACCCACGATTGTTTATCTAAAGCTAAATAAATGTGCAAAGCGCTTATGACATAATCATTACTATTATAATTTTGCGTATTATTAAATGACCAAATTATTCAAACTTTCGTGAGACATTATATAAAACTGATATATAAACACGGCTAAACACTCACGTATATTCGTCCGGTGGCGGCACCGACTAGTTTCGAGCCCGTCGGGAAGATCCTGATGAAGGGCCCCCGATGGGCTCGAAACCTAGTCGGTGCCGCCACCGGACGAATATACGTGAGTGTTTAGCCGTGTTTGTATATTAGTTGACCACATTATTGTAGTATTGAATTTTATCATATGTTTACAATTGTGCGATGAACTCAACGTGTGAATCATCGCATATTTAAGAACGACTTGATTAGTAGGAAGTTTTTAAACATTTGGTTTGATTGTACCGTTGCGCTTTGCTTTTTACTTTGCGCATGCAAGCGATACGTTTCCGAGTTTTTTCAGATTTTCAGTCTTTAAAATGAACTCATGAATTTTACAAAACCTTTTATACCATACTTAATATTCAAGCCCAATTGCCATATATTCAAACGCTAGTCGAGTCGATGGCACTGGCAGTGTTGATAATTTAACACTGCCAGTGCCATCGACGTTTAATGGATAAATAACTAAATAGCATAGAACATGAAAGGGATGAATTAAAGGAATTAAAATGATAAATCGTTGAAGTACGCAAAAGTCATGTAAACAGACAAAATGAGATAGCTGGTTAGGCTAGGTAATATAAGATATGTATCGATAAATAAAATCAATATCTCCTGAATATGAAAGAGCCATGCGGTTTGTATACAGATTAATAAAAATGCAATAAAAAAATGTAGTTCCTGAGACCGCGAAAAGTTTTTATAGCTTTGCCGCGGCGTGCCGTCAGATTGCGGTATGTTTGATACAAACTGCCGCAAAATTAAGTTCGTCTGAGGTGAGCGCTACGCCTGATTATCCCCGGCCCCAGACCGCCCCAGGCAAATACTTTTATAATAACATATAAGTTTACATATAAGTTTTAATACTATTAGTAGGTAAAGGATGGATATTTTACAATCACATCAGTCCATAGTTATTATTCAGATACTGTTTTTTTTTTAAGTGAAAAATTAAGCGAAGCGAAGGATATGTGCTAGAACAATGCTAAATTTGAACCCGTAATATCTGAGTATATCTCTGGGTAACAAGCTCGAGTTATATTGTTTTTCGAATGTTATACGAATAAGTTTTGTCAATTTCCAGAACATTATAGACCAAACATTGAAAGCTTACTGCACAAAATATTTAATTTTTTTTTTCAAATATAATAAAGTTTAAAAATATTTTCGCTCCTGGAATTAGAAGGCACTTGTATTTAACAGCTCGAACGGTCCGTGAACTTTATCCAAGTTTATTGAAATAAGAACCTCGGAGTTGGCTGTCGTTAATTTTAAACGCACCTCTGATATCGCTCGAGTTGCCGCTGCCCGTAAAGTTCCGCCGATGATTGTTTACAACCAATAAACGTTTTTTTCTTAACTTTTCTGCAATTTTTAAACCTGCCAACGGAAATATTTTTTAACATTTTGTCAAGAATTACTCCAACTATTTTTAATAATTATCGTAATGTTTACAAATTATCTTAAACACAGACATTAATAACATTATTTCTGTTATGTAAAACCATTAAAATATTACTCTCAAATATTATTTAGAGTGGAAATTAATTTTATTCTAATAATAATGACAAATTCTACAATTAAAAAAGTCTATTTAATATTTTGCGAAAATTACCTCGTCTAAATTTTGGATATTCGTTCTGCTCATTGCACTCTTTGGAAATTACTACAGAAAATAAATAAAAATTAGCCGCCATTTATATACAGAAAACAGTTTTATTAACAAAAACAAAACCTTACAATTAAAACTGCAAGAACGTGGCTCCTTCAAACCATTGTCTGAAAAAGTAATGATGTAAAATAGGCTGTTGATTTTTTTTTTAATTTAAATAAATAAATAAATGTCATAGACTAACCTTTTGGGTCATACGCGATTGTATCAACTATCTCTTGTTTGATATCAGTGTCGGAGTCTGAAAAATATATGCTTGAAATACCTTCAATACACAACTGCATAAAAATTTATTGTAGGAATACCTACCATCTCCCATGATCGGTATAGCTTGAAGAATGTCCAAATGAAATATATCAAAGTCTAGAAAAAAAGATATAAAAACTGAATATAAAACTTAATTACATTTCATAAAGAAAGAAAACACCTTAAGTTATTCCTTCTTTAACTCTACGATCAGTTTTTTTTTAACTTAAGTATTTAAGAACTTTTAATCATCTTTCTATACATTTTTATTACTCAATGAGTGCTTAAATTCTCGTTTAATTTACTGGCAGCAAATTGTTAAAACACATAAGAACTCAAGCTTATGTATAGTCAGATGTATAGTCATCAAGAATATGTATAGTCAGTGCCTGATCACCTGATTACAACAGTATATAAAACTCTGAAATATAAATAAATACAATAAAATTTAAATCTATGTTATACCTGTAAGAATCACGACATGTTGCGATCGTTTAACTG